CAGGCTGGCGCCCCTCCTGCCACACACATGACAGGCTGAGCACACGTGATGGACTTGGATGTGACCCGGGGTGGGTGGGACTTCCTGCCCCACACACGTGTGACAGCATATGTCGCACTGGCTTCACATATGTAACGTCATGTCACCCCAAAAATCCCATCCACGCCCAGAATGGAAATCACGGACTCCACACGGCAGCGCCCTCATCGCCAGTGTCGTTTTATTCCAGTGTTGTGCGGACGCAGTGGGGGGGATTAAATACGAGATCGTGTGCTTCACATGTGTTAAAATTTTCCTTTACCGTGGACACCGGATGGGACTCGTGAGTTCATTTCTTCCAGGTCCCACGTGGGGTCAAAATGAGAGGAAAATAAAATAATGATAAAGTGCAGATTTCACGTGTGTCCTGGCGCTCGCACATGCATGTCGGGCAGTGCAGGATTCCACGCCATCTTCACGGAAACACTGATCGGAACTGGCCGGGATGTGCACGTGGGGCTCACACGCGTGTGTCAGACCTGAGTCAAGACTGTAGCACATGCGTGTATCACAAGCCGGACAGCAGGGTTCACATGGGTGGGGTTTTCACAAGCGTGTGTCTTCGCGCTCGACAGCGAGTGCGTGTCCTTCATGTGTGGTGGGTGTGCGAGGCCCGCATCCTTCATTTGTGTTCACGTGTGCTGGGGGGAGGGGATCCGTGATTGCCACGTGACCCCGGAGTTAGAGGGGTCACGCATGTGTCAAGTGACATCACAGCTGCAGCCACGGCTTCCACACCAGGTTGCTGAGCGACAGCTGCTGGGGCACCGCGGGGTCCAGTGTGCGTGTGTGCGCGGCCACCGCCTCCCCCACAGCCGCCAGGACCGCGTGGTATCGCGGCTCGGATTCCGGGGTCAGGGAGCGGCGCTCGCCGGGGTCACGTGTGAGGTCAAAGAGCAGTGGAGGGTCGTGGCGCGTGATGTGTGTGCCGAAGCAGAAGCACACGTGTGAGGAGAAGCAACCATTGGTGCCAGGGTCGAAGTTGGGCGTGAAGTAGAAGACTTTCCAGAGGGCGGAGCCTGCGGGGAACACGCACCACACAGGTGACACACGCGGGACCTATTTCACACTCACATGTTCTATTTCACACATGTGCCCTGTTTTACACACACGATCTGATGTCACACACGCGTGTGCTCACCGTCCTGTGGCCGCCAGCGCACGGCGTTGAGGTAAGCGTTGCAGTAGTGGAAGAGGAACTCGTGCTCCGACCACATGCGCGTCCCCCGCAGCAGCGGCATCAGGTCCCGGCCGTCGATGATCCTGCGGGGACACACGTGTGCGATGCGGGAAGAAAGTCCCACCCCATTCATGCCCACCCACAGGAAGCCCCGCCCCCACGCACCTGTCGGCAGGAAGCTCCGCCCCGGCCAGCGCCAGCACCGTGGGGAAGATGTCCATGTGGCTCGTGGGCTCCGCCAGTTCCAGGCCGCGGCCAAGCTCCCGCGGGAAGCGGACAACACCAGGCACGCGGATGCCGCCCTCCCAGTTGGTGGCCTTGCCACCTGTGCCGCAGGACAGAGGGTCAATCACCTCATCCACCAATCACACGCAGTAACACACATGAAGTCATGTCAAGGACATACATGGGAAGCACACACAAACACGGAAATCACACAACACGCACACACGCCCTGCGTCCCCAACCTTTGTAGATCCCGTTGCTGCCACCGTGCATCTCGCCCTCCTCGCTCACTTCCTCCACGTGGGCGCCGTGGTCAGATGTGAAGTACACGAGCGTGTCGTTCGCCAGGCCCAGGCGGTCAAGCGCATCCAGGATCTGCCCTGTGGGGGCGGGGAGGGTGCAGTCATAGTGTGACATCACCACTTGATCACATACACACAAACACACGAACGGCATCATCACGCAACAACATGCATGACATCATCACACAAATACACATATGACATCATCATGTAATTGCACACGTGACATCATCACAATCACACGCGTGACACCATCCCGTGTCCTCCAGGCCCCGCCCCACTCACCCACACTCCAGTCCAGCTCCTCGACCGCGTCCCCGTAGACGCCATGGCGACTGCGTCCGGCGAATTTTGGGGCCGCAAAATGCGCAGTGTGGACGTGGAGGAAGGAGAGGAACAGCAGGAAGGGCACGTGTGAGTGTCTGCAGGCGGGAGGGGGTCTAGCCTCAGAACTCAGATATTACATGTGTCACACATGCATGATGTATGTAATGCGACAAGGGACACAGATGCGGTCTAGGCTTGGACACCATGCATGAGTGCACTCACATGTCCCTCCTTTAGACACGCGTGTACAAATTAAAACAAGCACACAGTGGTCTATCCTGCGACCCTAAGTATAACACGTTATACATGCATGATCCATGGAAGGTGACACAGGGCAGATAGGGTCTAACCTTGGAATCCATGCATGACATTAACATACACGTGACACACACATGACATGCAACAGGGTTGGACATGCATGTGTGATTGGCAACATGCATCAACCATGTGGGACATGGGCATGGGACACATTAGACCATGCGCAAGAAGTGCGACTTGTACGATGCCTGCAGCGGTCTAACCTGAGACCCCACTCCCAACCACAGAAAAGTGGTCTAGCCCCAAACCTCATGCATTAACATAGCTCACATGTGCTATGCACATGCATGACATACGCGTGACCCCGCGCTCACCTCTCCAGGAAGCCCACAGCCTCTCGTGTGAGCCTCTGTGTGAGCTCCTCGTAGGACGCCGGCCGCTGCACCACCTCGAACCCGGTCATGAGGACACAGTTCGCGGGGCGGAAATAGTACAAGAAGGTGAAGAAGCCACCAGCCACTGCGACCGCGAGCAGCACGGGCGCCACCATCACTGCCACGGGCACACGCGCCAGCCCCAGGTGGTGCAGTAGCGTGAGTGTGAGCGCACACACAAGCAGCACCTGCACGGGCACACGCACCAGCCAGCGCCTGGCGGAGTTGAACACGGAGCCGGAGCCTGGGATGCAGTCACGCAGGTTGGTCAGTGGGAAGCCGTGGAAGGACTCGAACCCGTGGCGCTGCGGGTGGTGGCAGAAGTCGTCCCGGTGGTGGCAGCTCACGCCCAGGTGCCACTTCCCTGCCAGTGGAGGGGGACACGCTCATCAGGGCGGGACGATAGTCACGTGTTGTTACGTGTCAATCAAATGTACTCATGGGTGCCAATGGTGATGTCGTGTCAAACACGTGTTGTCATGTATGCAAATGCTGATGTCATAGGTCACATGTAAGTCGATGACATGACATCACGAGTGTGACAAGGTCATCACGTGTAGATCGTATGTAGTCAAGGGTGCAAATGCTTGACATCATGGGTTGTCAGGTTCCGATCACGTGTCAATGACATGATGTCACAGGTCATCTTTGAGACATCATGCGTGTAAACACACTGATCATGTGACGTCACTCACCGACCAGGCCCGTGCGGTACCCGCGCTCCCGCAGGCGCTGTGCAAAGGTGACCTCGCTGGGGGGCAGCCCGCCCGAGGACGCCGTGAACATGAACACGCCCACACGGTTGTGCGAGGCCATGCCTGTGGAGGGCGGATCGGGCCGGCTCAGACCTGTCCCCACTCTCGGCCCCGCCCCCACTCTCGGCCCCGCCCCCACTCTCGGCCCCGCCCCCACTCTCGGCCCCGCCCCTCACCCGAGCGCACAGCATAGCGCCCAGTGAGAAAGGCTGCGCGGCTCGGTGTGCACAGGGGCGCGGCCGCCAGGTGCTGCGTCAGCTTCACGCCCTCACGCGCCAGGCGGTCCACGCTGGGCGTCCTGGGGGGGAGGGAGGGTCACGCGTGGGCACGGGAGACACACGCACGCACGCGCCCCTCATCCACATCTGCACACGCGTGTCCCCACCTGAGCGTGCTGTTCCCGTAGCAGCCGAGGTCCCCGATGCCCAGGTCGTCGGCCATGATGATGACGAAGTTGGGCCTCGCGGGGTCGCGGGCACCGCCCACGCGGAGCAGCAGGAGGAGCGCGAGGGCCGCGAGCGACATCGCCCTGGGGAGCCGGTGTGCACGCGTGTGGGTGTGCGCGTCATGCGTGCTTATGTCACGTCACGTGTGTAAGAAACGCTCACATGTTACATGTGTGCCTTCATGCGTGCTTACGTCATTCCTGCTTACATCACAAGCACCCACGTCACACAAACATACGCCCCCGTGTCCCCATCACACTCGGGTTTACGTTCGTTGGGCACCGCAGCTGGGGCTCCGTCGCTCGCCTACGATCCCGCCGCCCCCTCCCGCTCCCGGAGCCCCCGCGCGGGTTACGTACGAGTTCGTCGTCGCCATTTCCGTCCGGAGCCGTGGGCGCCGCGGCCGGGGCTCCGTGGCTCGTGCAGGAGTTCGCGCGTTAATCGATCGACTCCTCGGGGCGCCGCGGGATCGTCCGCTACCCCCCGGAGCCCTAATCCGCCGCTTCCGCCTCCGCTTCTTGTGCCGTCCGGGGCCACGCGGGTAGCATACGAGTTCGCTGCGCGCGCGTTGACCGAATGCGCGACCGCCGCGGCCCCGGCGCTGTTTGTTTTGGCCCCGGGTGGGGGCCCCGCCCCCCTGAGCGCCCGCGGGTGTCAGTCATTGCCGGGGGGGCGGGGCCTGCGGGGGCGGAGGTCACGGCCGCGCTGACCCCGCGGCGGAGGACTCAGCACAGCACCCGGGGCGAAAAATATGTAAACACGCCGGTGCCGGTGACGTCAGCGCGGTGCGGTCACGTGAGCTCCAGGCCCCGCCCCCTTTTCCCGCCCGCGGACCGCGTAGGAGGCCGCGGGCCCCGAGAAACGGTCACTTCCGGTTTCACGGACCAGCGCTTCCGGTGCGGCGGCCGTCAGTCACGGTGACCGGGCGGGACTTCCGGGAGTCCAGGAACGGGGGTACAGAGCCCAGCACCCGGGGGGACTGAGTCCTAAGCACCCAGGTCCGCGGCCGCGGGGGAGGGGCGGGGCGACGGACACTTCCGAGAGGGCGGGATCACCGAGCATAGCACCCGGGGTTACTGAGCGCTGAGTCACTAGCACCGCGGCTGCCGGAGCCCTGAGTCCTGAGCCGCGAGCACTTCCGGGAGGGCGGGGGACCGAGCACGGCGCGATGAGCACTCGCGGGAATGAGGAGGACTCAGCGCTCAGCACCGCGGGCGGCTAAGGAATCCGGGGACTGAGCGCCAAGTCATCAGCACCCGGGAGGACTCAGCGCAGCACCCGCGGGTCAGGGGGTCAGAGGGTGGGGTCGGGGGGCGTGGTGTTTGGGGGTCACGGGGTCACCTGACTCGGGATCGACTCAGGCGCGGGAGGCGGAAGCCGGGGACCGGAAGTACCGCCCCGGGGTCCAGAGTGACAGACGCGGCCCAGCCCCGTCGCTGACGTCACTCGTCCCCGCCCCAGGTGACGTCACCCTCGTCTGCCGCGGGAGTCACAGCCTTGGCCTGTCCCGTGACCGCATCCCTGCGGTGTTGACTGTCCCGGATCCCGTGGGTGACCCTGCGGTGTTGACTGTCCCGGATCCCGGTGGGTGACTCTGCGGTGTTGACTGTCCCGGATCCCGTGACCGCATCCCTGCGGTGTTGACTGTCCCGGATCCCGGTGGGTGACCCTGCGGTGTTGACTGTCCCGGATCCCGGTGGGTGACCCTGCGGTGTTGACTGTCCCGGATCCCGTGGGTGACCCTGTGGTGTTGACTGTCCCGGATCCCGTGACCGCATCCCTGCGGTGTTGACTGTCCCGGATCCCGTGACCGCATCCCTGCGGTGTTGACTGTCCCGGATCCCGGTGGGTGACCCTGCGGTGTTGACTGTCCCGGATCCCGTGGGTGACCCTGCGGTGTTGACTGTCCCGGATCCCGGTGGGTGACCCTGCGGTGTTGACTGTCCCGGATCCCGGTGGGTGATTCTCCAGTGTTGACTGTCCCGGATCCCGTGGGTGACCCTGTGGTGTTGACTGTCCCGGATCCCGTGGGTGACCCTGTGGTGTTGACTGTCCCGGATCCCGGTGGGTGATTCTCCAGTGTTGACTGTCCCGGATCCCGTGGGTGACCGGAGAGAACATGGCGGACTTCCCGTCTGCCCGACTCTCCGAAACATTGATTCCGTTTCCAGAATTAAATCCTCGTGATCCAGTCTAACCCGCTCCACTGTAGAGCGCTGTGCCCACAGTTTTATAGCTCATCCTGTGACGCAGAATCTCCCAGTCGGGGCCTCACTCGGACCGGGTTCGCGGTGACTTGAGGTTGTTCGTGTGCGTGCGGAGCTGGGGAAGGGGATCTGAGCTCATTTCCCCCCAACCTCATTAAATCTGTCAATTTTTTGAATATGCAAAAGTCCTGTGTTCTCAGTCGTCAACCTCTGTTCTCCCCAGAGTGACCCCGTTATCCGCACGGGTATTTGTATGTTCGTGGACCTCGCAGTGAGCGTCCCCGAGCGTCCCCTGCCGTAGCTGCAGGCAATTGGAGAGCGAGCACATCCTCACGTGTGTCTCCAGACACTGGACACCACAGTTCACACTACATTTGATCCTGTGCAGTGTGCATAAATGTGTTAGGGCACCGCCTGGGAGCCTGACTCTGACGTTCTACACTGAGAAAAACGTTAATATTAACATAAGTGTATAGCACTGGATTCCAGACCTTTGTGTCATAAACAAAATAATCAGAAATTTGTCATAAAGTTTCCTTAAAGACATTTAGATATCTGTGAAATATAAATTGATTTAACCTTAAAAGAAGTTCCCTAGCCACAGGAATACCCTTACTTATAGGGACCGTGTAAAAATCCAGTGTTCCTGGCAGAATACGTAGAGAATGTACAGCCTTAACTGTAATTGTCATATCGAAAGAGCATGTACCGTTTATTTCGGTAATGTTCATTGACCTTGTAAAAATGGTTAAGAATGTCTTAGTCTATAGTTTGGGCTTCTCACTCCAGATTAAGAAAAGTTCCCGTTTTAAAATACCCTTGGCCGTCATGGAAATTCAAGTCAATACGACTCTAAGATTCCATCTTACAGCTGTCAGTTTGGCAAAGATCAAAACACAAATAACATCTTGTGTTGGAGAGAACATGGAGAAGGTTAGGGATCTGTCTACCTCATCTACACAACCAATGCTTCATCACACCACAAGGACATTTGCTCAACTTTTCTTAATGTATTTATTTGTAATAGCCAGAACCAAAAACAACCTACATGTCCATCAGCTGAGGAATTGATAGGCAGGTGGGATACATGTTCACAATAGAGTATTACTCTTAGAAATGATGGCAACATGAAATCTGTAAGCAAATGAATACGACTAAAGTTATCCTGAGTGAGGTAACTGAGACCCAGATAGACCAACACAGTCTATAATAATTTATAAGTGGATGTGAGCCATAAAGAACTCTGATATTCTCAGGCCCAGGTAAGACAAGAACTCAGTGGTGGAGAACAGCACAGGGATCAGGTGGGGATAGAGGAGGAGAGCTCTGGAAAATGGAGGCATTCGGGGCTGAGGTAGGAATCTGCTGCAAGGAACTCCCAGGGATCCACCAGGGAGATACGTAGCCCGAACCGGTCACTTCCTGTAACCAGGCAAATCTTGCAGTGAAGGGAACGGGACACCCACAGCCACAAATCCCTCAATCTGTAGTCGTTCCTGTGTCGTGTGGACACAAACTGTGCTGGGGTAAATATGGTGCAGAAATCGTGGAGTGGGAACCAAGAATCCACTGCAGCCTGAGACCCAGGAGAGTGAGGCCACCCCGCCACTCCCTGCAGCCTCAGGACCTCGTGGAACCAAAGAGGACTGGTGAAAAGTCAAATTAATGATGTCTAATGGTATTCTGCTATTCTCAGCTTTTTCCCTAGTCCAGCTATCATCAGGGAGACTTCGTCCAGCAATGGATGGAAACAGAATCACAATGAGGCTGAACTCGATGAATCCTTTGGAGGGGGGATAAGAATTATAGAAGCCATAGGAGTCAGGGACACCGAGAGAAAACCCACAGAGTCAGCTAACCCGGGCTCCTAGTGGCTCACAGAGAAGGCACTGACCCCAGGCCCTCTACATACATGCAGTAGTTGTGTAGCGTGGTGTTCTTATGTGATTCCTAACACTGGGATTGTGTCCACAGATGATTAGTCTTACTGTAACTTATTATGTCATGTTTTATTGATAACCATGATAGGCCTCTCCTTTTCTGAACACAGGAATGGGGATTGTTAGGAGAGGAGGGAAGGAAACCTGGGGTCAGGATGTAAAAAAGAAAGGAAAAAAGGAAGAAAGGAAGGAGGAATGGGAGGAAGGGAGAGCAAAATGCTGTTTCTTGACAGTATAGATACAGTGAGCAGTTTTGTCAGCATCATTTTTGCAACAATAAAACATTTCCGCAGAGAAAAACAGTTGCTGTTTTATCCACTGCCACCAGAGGGACTCGTTCACACACTGTATGCTGCAGTTCCTTCCTACAGGAGAGAATTCAGCTCTGTTGAACACACCACACAATTATAAACAGATTGACACACCTTAAGTTTGTATCGGAAACTATGGTGGTATAAAAAGTTTTCTTATTTTTTTACAGGGAATAAAAAGTAATTCTCAAAACCAGGAGGTGAATGAGCATGTCACAGCATAGGTGGACCTACTTTAGTGAACTACAGAAACAGAAGGGACATCCGAGACAGACCAGCACAAACTGCAGACACGAAATCTGTGAAAATGTGTGATCTGACGTTACACAGCTCCCACTCCCCTCCTCAGCAAAGAAGAGTGGAGAAAATGCTGGGAAAACCATCCTAAAACAAGATTTCTGGCACCTGCTGAAAGTACCTTGGGTAAATATGTTACTTTGTTCTTTATTTCATTTCCTTTCTACGGAGTGTTTTCTATTTTTATGCTTGTGGTTTTGAACATTCTATATTTGTGTTTTTATTGAATATATGCTATGAAAATGTGGTCTCCAAGGTTGGAACTCATTTCTATATACCCTCAATTTTAAATTGTACTGAAAGAATATTTTAGAAAAGTTTAATTCAGCAATGTTTTTGTTCTATAAATCAATACATCAACTTTGTGCTGGCTCTGAGGATGTTTTAAGGAACTACTTGCATTAGATCCACTTTGAGTATATTTACAAGATGATTATCAAGGTTCCCGGTTTATGTGGGTGCCCCATTTTCCTCAACACTTGTTAAAATCAGTTGTCCTGGGATGAAATGTTCTTACGTGCCATCATCAGAAACCGACCGTGGTTTCACCTGGGTGTCTATCCATCCCCAGGGTTTCATCTGGGTGTCTATCCATCCCCAGGGTTTCACCTTGGTGTCTATCCCCAGGGTTTTGTCTGGGTGTCTATCCCCAGGGTTTTGTCTGGGTGTCTATCCCCAGGGTTTCACCTGGGTGTCTATCTATCTCCAGGGTTTTGTCTGGGTGTCTGTCTATCTCCAGGGTTTCATCTGGGTGTCTATCCATCTCCAGGGTTTCATCTGGGTGTCTATCCCCAGGGTTTCACCTTGGTGTCTATCCCCAGGGTTTCACCTGGATGTCTATCCATCCCCAGGGTTTCACCTGGGTGTTTATCCCCAGGGTTTCACCTGGGTGTCTATCCCCAGGGTTTCACCTTGGTGTCTATCCCCAGGGTTTTGTCTGGGTGTCTATCCCCAGGGTTTTGTCTGGGTGTCTATCCCCAGAGTTTTGTCTGGGTGTCTATCCCCAGGGTTTCACCTGGGTGTCTATCTATCTCCAGGGTTTTGTCTGGGTGTCTATCCCCGGGGTTTCACCTGGGTGTCTATCTATCCCCAGGGTTTCACCTGGGTGTCTATCCCCAGGGTTTCACCTGGGTGTCTATCCATCCCCAGGGTTTCATCTGGGTGTCTGTCCATCCCCAGGGTTTCATCTGGGTGTCTATCTATCCCCAGGGTTTCATCTGGGTGTCTATCTATCCCCAGGGTTTCACCTGGGTGTCTATCCATCCCCAGGGTTTCATCTGGGTGTCTATCCATCCTCAGGGTTTCATCTGGGTGTCTATCCATCCCCAGGGTTTCATCTGGGTGTCTATCCATCCCCAGGGTTTCATCTGGGTGTCTATCCATCCTCAGGGTTTCATCTGGGTGTCTATCCATCCCCAGGGTTTCATCTGGGTGTCTATCCATCCCCAGGGTTTCACCTGGGTGTCTATCCATCTTCAGGGTTTCATCTGGGTGTCTATCCCCAGGGTTTCACCTTGGTGTCTATCCCCAGGGTTTTGTCTGGGTGTCTATCCCCAGGGTTTCACCTTGGTGTCTATCCCCAGGGTTTCACCTTGGTGTCTATCCCCAAGGTTTCATCTGGGTATCTATCCATCCCCAGGGTTTCACCTGGGTGTCTATCCCCAGGGTTTCATCTGGGTGTCTATCCATCCCCAGAGTTTCACCTGGGTGTCTATCTATCTCCAGGGTTTTGTCTGGGTGTCTATCCCCAGGTTTTCTATTCAGAGCTAAAGCCCTGTGTCAACTCTTTCTCTTACATCATCGCATTTGCTCTTATAGGGAGAACACTGGATTTCCGATCATTGTGGGTGATGTTGGCTGTTGACTTTATGTAACTGGAGTTTCTACATTTATTACATAGCCGTTTTCCCTTTCAGATGCAGATATGATGAGTGGAAAGTATCAATGTCTTCAGGTGTTCAGTCAGCCTTGTACTTTTGGTGTAAGGTTAACTTGATTATTTTATATTATCTTGTATTTTAAATGTTGCTGGATATTATTTGCTAAAATTTGCGAAGGGATTTTGATGCCATTAGAACTAGTCGTGGTGTGAAAGGAGTGGATTCAAGACAAACGAGCTAATTTAACAATTACAAATAATGCTGACACCTTCTGAAAAAAAATGTAAGTACTGCACCTAGAAATTAGTAAATTTGTTAGAGATACTGTCAGTAACTATAGTAATATTAATAATTTTCTATTTTGGGAAAAAAATCAACTTTATTTTCTCATCATTAAAAAACAGAAGTAGCCATCATTTTTTGCTGAGAAAATGCCTCTTTTGGTATTCACAATATCTAAGTTTCTGAAAAGGTACTCTGATAAAATCATCCCTAATGCATTCAGAAATCAGATCCACATGTGACCAGTCCTTTACAGAAGTAGATTACAGTTGCCACAGTCTTTACTGGCCTCCTATGACTTAATACTGAAATAACCTGTAGCTGACTACTTATTCAGCAATCCCTAGTTCTTTGCTATAGGAATTTAAGAGCTGTAATACAAACACTAATATATACATGACAGATCTGAATCCACAGCTATCGCTTTACACTTTACTAAATTCTCGTCTAACTAGTT